ATATATATATATATATATATATATATATATATATATATATATATATAAAAAACACCTATGTAGTGTTTCTGCTGGCCTCAAGTGGACAAAAAATATTACTCATTGCATGTTTACTGAGACTAGCCATAACATTATGACTGCCTGGCTAATCTGCCTTCTGCTGAATTGATTGCTAAGGCCTCAGCTCTCATAATCCTGAGGCTGCAGGTTCAAGCCCAGGTTGTGTCAGGAAGGGCATCCGGCGTAAAACAATTGTCAACTCTTTCACGAGAGCTGGAAGAACAACGATAATAATGGTGAGGCATCGGATCATTTTGGACATCAGGAGGGGTTAAAATGCTTAGACCCATTCAGAAATATATTTAACTCAAAGTCAAAAGATCTGCTGTAATATTGTGTAACAAATTATTAGTAGCAGATCATTTAGGTCCCAGATGTTGCTGTATATCACCTGCTACCTCCCCATTAACAAGGTTCGATGCTGTTATTTTATGTCTTTGGTTCTGGGAGGGATAATGTTTATAAAGAAAAAAAACTTTTTGCATTTATTTGTCACCATTTTGATGTATCAAACTCGTATCAAACAGTGACCCATACAGAGAGGTTCATGCTGAACCAGAACTTAGACGTACCATTACATTCCTTATATGAGGATTGACAAGATTTATTGTTCAATAATTGCCTATTGTTAAACTTTGAGCAGCAGTAGTCGAGGACACAAGTCTCTGCAACTATTTTTTGTAGGTTGCAAACTGAAAAGTTTGAGAATAAATTTAAAGAACCTCTCAATCTTCTTGATGTAATCCATAAAAAAAAAAAATATGTATATATATATATAAATGCATCATCACATTAAGAGGCCACTGCCATTAGCTAACCTGGATCTACTACAAGTGCAACTTGGTCACGTGTGCAGGGGCTCTTGATGTAAACTCAGCAATGAGTGAAAAAACTATGTTGAATTTCGACTGTGCAACAAATTGAAATGGCAGTTTTGATTTTGAGCTTTTTTGTTGTTCTAAATTTGAGCCCAGATTCTGTCAGGAACAGCATCCGGTAAAACATTTGCTAAACCTCGTGTGAGTTTGGTCAATATGGTGACCCTGCAGAAAGGAGCACCCAAAATAAAATTTAAATTAAAAAAAAAATCAGCAAAAGAAGAAGCACTTTTTTTAAACAAAATAACTTTACTTTCATATGAAACAAGCATGTAAGGAACTTATTTTACAAAAAGACTCAGGTTTTTAGGCACTTCAATAAACTCGTTGAATGTTCTGCTAAACTGAAACACTTTTTGCTGTATTTTAGTTTAATTTTGTCTATATATATTTTTTTTTTCCCACATACTGTAATTATTAAAATGACACCGTGTGAAAATATTTTAGCTAGTGTCCCTGGAGCATTTTTGCACATGATTAATTCTGCCTTGGCCATTAGGGAATATTTTCTCCATAAAAGTGAGGTATTGGTCAGGAGTGTGTATTTTAGAAGCACTGACGTTACATCAACATGAACTTCTGGATCCAAGGTTTCCCTGCAGAACAAAGCTTGTCCAAAGTCTCACAATGGCCTGCCGGGCTTATCTTCCTCACACAAAGCAACGTGGCATCATGTATTCCCCAGGATCTGACAACCAACATGATGGAAAAGAAGGTATGATTCATCAGACCAGGAAACTTCTTCCACTGCTCTGTGGTTCAGATCTGATGCTCAGCCATGCTGGTCTGCAACTGTACAACCTCATGCAACACTGTGTGTCCTCGGTGTACTGCTTCTCCTTCCTTGAACCTCTTGTGTCTACTTTGTTGCTGCAGGATGGGAACATCCCATTGGAACGGTCTGTTGAGATGCTGAAACCCAACAGTCTGATTATAACAATTTAGAATTTGTCAAACTTAAACATTTATCTTGTACAGACAAAATTTTGACTCCCTGCTTAAAACATAGCCTATAAAAATATTCCCCCCTTTGGTTATTTTATACTTTTATTGCACTCATAAAATCAGTAATGATCACTAGAAGTTGGCCTTTTTGACCTAAACAAATAAAAACCCTCTTCAATGTCAACATGAAATCAAACGTATACCAAGTAATACCAGTTAAATAAAAATGTATACATTTATAGCTTAAATATTCACCCCCTTTGAAGTGACTGTTCTAATTCAACTCAGAGAAAAGATTAGTGCAAGTCAGAGAATGGGTACAAAAGGATTTTAAGGACTTAAACATCCCCTGAAGTTACTTTAAACCCATCATCAAGAATTGGAAGGAATATGGGACATGTATAAATCTACTCAGATCAGGCTGATGAGGCTTGTGACCACTCAGAAAAGTCACTGTTGAAGAGAACTCATTTAATCTCAACTATAGTTTGCCATATAGCATATGAAAAACTCAATGGTCAAATGCCTCTTAGCACCTAGCCCAAATCAAGATTTAATGTTTCAATATTCTTTTCTCCGAGTTGAATTAGGCCAGCCTCTTTTAAGAGGTGAATATTTAGTCACTTTTTTCACGTTACACATTTTCGTCGTTTAATTGGCATTACTCTCAAGAAATTTGCTTTCGTTTTGACATATCTTTTGTAAAAAATACATTTGTAGACCACGGCTGATTTATGGATGAGATTTTCTATTGGGTTAAGCACTCCAGGACCTTGAACTGCTTCTTACAGAGACAGTCTTTTAGTTGCCCTGGCTGTATGTTTGGGGTCATTGTCATGCTGGAAGACCCAGCCACCACCCATCTTCAATGCTGAGGGAAAGAGGTTGTTGGCCAAAATCTCATGATACATGACCCCATCTATCCTCCCTTTAATACGGTGCAGTCGTCCTGTCCTCCTTGCGGAAAAGCATCCCCAAAGTATGATGTTTCCACCCCATGCTTCACGGTTGGGACGGTGTTCTCGGTGTTATACTCATCCTTCTTCCTCCAAACACAGCCAATGCAGTTAATACCAAAAAGCTCTATTTTGGTCTCATCTGACCACGAGACCTTCTCTGGATCATCCAGATGGTCAGTGGTGAACTTCAAAACAGGCCTGGACATGTGCTGATGTGAGCAGGGGGACCTTGTGTGCCCTGCAGGATCTTAAACCATGACGGCGTAGTGCGTTAATAATGATCCTCTTTGAGACTAAGGTCCCAGCTCTCTTCAGGTCGTTGACCAGCCATGTAGTTCTGGGCTGATTCCTGACCTTTCTCAGAGTCATCCTTACCCCACGAGGCGAGACCTTGCATGGAGTCTCAGATCGAGGAACATTGACAGTCATCTTGTTTCTTCCATGTTCTAATAATTGCACCAACAAATGTTAGTCTCACCAAGCTGTTTGCCTATTGTCCATCCCAGCTTTGTGCAGGTCTACAATTTTGTCCCTGGTGTCCTTAGACAGCTCTTTGGTTTTGGTCATGGTGGAGAGGTGTGATTGATTGTGGACAGATGTCTTTTATACAGGTAACAAGTTCAAACAGGTGCAATTAATACAGGCAATGAGTGCAGAATGGGAGAGCTTCTTAAAGAAAAACTAACAGGTCTGTGAGAGAATTTATTGCTTGTTGGTAGGTGATAAAATTACTACTTCATGCAATAAAATGAACTATTTAAAACCCATACAATGTGACGTTCTGGATTTCCGTCTTAGATTCGGTCTCAGTTTAAAGGTACCTACGATAAAAATTAACCTCTTCATTCTTTGTAGGTGGGAAAACTTGCAAAATTGGCAGTGCATCAAATAGGATCTAGACAAGATATTGCCACCACCTGTCATTATGTTATGGCTGCTCAGTGTACTTATACACTTACAAAGGAATGCAGCACTTTTGTAAACTGAACTGTTTGCCTCCCACAACAAAACTCTGCAAGAGGGTCTGACTCTGTGATTAACTTTTCTTTTTGAAATCATCTTCCTTTCAGGTGTGAGAAGGATGTGGATGAATGCGCCTCAGAGCCATGTATGAACGGAGGCTTCTGCATCAACTACGTCAACAGTTTCGAATGTGTGTGCGACATGAATTACTCGGGGATATACTGTCAAATAGACGTCAAGTGACTTCTACATGTATCTCTTCTTGGGCTTGTGGCAGAACCTCTTCCAGCTCGTGTCCTATATCGTCATTCGCCTCGACGACGAACCAGAGATTGAATGGGGATTACAGGTCAACGATTAGAAATCTCCTTATCCATGATGGGAAAACTGGACCAGAGTAGAGGGGTATACCATTGTGCTCAAAAAGAAGGAAACAAGCTGCATCTTTAAGCTACATGAATGAATTTGTATTGTTCATTTTTATCACTTTGTCAGAAATATACCCTCATAAAAACTTCTTAATGGGTTCTACTGAACCTATACTTGTGCATTGTTCTGATCTAGTCCTACAAAAACTTGATTACACAAGAAACTGGGGAAAAAAACATTTGTGTTAACAAATTTCATCTAGTTTACAAAGAAATTTTTAAAAATGCCCATTGTGCAGTTACTGTATGAAAAAGCCGTGTCTCACCATAACTGTTAGTCTGAGAACTGTGTGTGCCTTAAATATCCATTTAATATCTGTTAAGCTGCTTTTAACAGTCTGCTTCAGGAAACGTTCACTTCCAATTATTATTTAGTATTATTAGAACTTCAGTCTAAAACCAGTAGAATGCATATTCAGATAACTGGATGCAAATGTATTCACCCCTTTTGGTTTTCGTTCCATTTTCTTGCCTTACGCCCTGAAATTAATTGGATTTTTAATTCAAGTTTTATGGGGAAAACACTTATTTTAAATCGTTATGTATGTATGTATGTATGTATATATA